ATTTTTTATATCAGTATACATATAAATATGTATATATATAATAAATATGTATTATATCTTTACCTTTGTTTAAATTAAATTCTTTAGTATTAATATTAATATTTGTTAATATTGATATTGGTAAAAATATAAATGGATATATGTCTTGTCATTGAATTTTGAAGAAAAAAAAAGGATCATTAATATTAATAAATTATGAATAATTAATTAAGTGTTTGCAAAGAAAAAATCAGTTTTTTAAAAACCCCAAATAAGAACATATTCAGTTTTCAGTATTAGTAAAATATTTATTATTAATATTCTGTTTTTGTAAATTATTTCATTCCTTTTAAAGTTCTTTCTTTATGAGGGTCTTATATAACCATTAAAATACTTATTGTATTGTTGTTGATAATGTGAAATCAAACGAATAAGGAGAATATAAACTATTAAATCAAGTCTTGATCAAAAAAATTTAGGTAAGTAATCCTGCTTTAGCACTTTCCAGTGGGATTCTAAAAATATAATTATATAAAATATACAAATTTTTTCTGCTACTGATTATGTCCATAATATTCAGATTTCTTTCTTGTATTAACTAGATCACAAGTAAACCACATATTTGGTAAATTTTTATCAACACAGAATTTATAAATTTTCTGTACTGATTCTTACCAAATTTCTTCAGATAATAAATAGTAACTATTTGCATTTAGAATTAATATATGTTGATACTGAGTTTCTAAAATCTCAAAATTTTAGATTGTAGAATTAGAGAACAAAAAATAAAACTATTTTTAGTTTTTTTATTACTTGTTTTTGGTAATAATGTTGAATAAAAATTTATATTGATAAAATTAAATACTTCATATGCTGAATTTGAACTATAAGTTATTGTTTTGGGTTGTATATTATCAAAAAAATGTTTTTTTAATATATTTTAATATACCAAAGGCATAATTATACTTTGACATATGACCAAATTTGTTATGTAGTTGAGATTTAGGAAAAATCTTTGTTTATTAAAAAAACTCAATACCTTTCAATCCTAAATCATACAATGTTTTAAAAAATAAAGCTAAGATTTCAGTAAGCATACTATCATCTTTATTTTTTTCTTTTATAAATAAATAGGCTATTGCAAAATCTGTACCATCATACTGTCTAATAATAATATAAAGTTCATATTCAAAAATATTTGTCTTATAGGTTGCATCAACCATAATTTCTTGACTTTTAATTATCTTAAAAAATGATGTTATGAAACTAAAAAATTTAATTCCATCTTTAGAATTACATAATAACATTTGATATCTATATTTATTTAAGAGAATTTCTGCTAAAATTAATTGATCTGTACTATTTTTGATATATTTTTATTTAATTAATATTGACCACCAAGCATGTACTTGTTTTTGTATCAAATTAGAATTATTATATTCTAAAATTTGATAAATATTACTTGGAGTAAGATGTATATTTTTTTGAATTTTCTCTTTAATATTTTCATTTATACTAAACTACTCAAGTTATTTGTGAATTATAGAATGTTAAAAATGGATTGATACAATTTTTGATTCTATATTAATAATAATTTTAACTAATCTATTACAATCAAATTGCTTAATTAGTATTCAATCTCTTTGCTTTTTAATGAATTCATTCTTTATAAGTCTTTTTGTAAGAGTTTGATGTTAAGAACAATTATACCAGAAGCTTGAGATATCAGATGTTTTTTTGAATTATAAGAATTTTTGAATATATAATAATATCTATTACTTTTATCAATTAACTCAGCAATTGTCTTGAATAATATTTTTAGATCATTATATATTATATCAATTAAGAGTTCACATTTAAAATCTATATCTAACAAATTATTTTCTAAATATTTATTTGTATTTAGTGTTAAAATTTTCTTATATAATTGTTTTGACATTTCTTTTTGTATTAAAGGTTCAGTTTTAGAAGATTCAATTTTATAAGGATCAGTTTTGTTACTTGATTGATTAGAATGTTTGTATTGTAAAGAACTATGATGATATTTATTGCAAGTTTTATTATCTTTAATGAAGTTATTTGAAGATAGATGTTTTTAGTATCTTGAATATTTAGATAATCTTTTATTTATACAAAGCTGAATTGATCAAATATGAACTAACTTATTTATCACTAATATCGACTATACAGAAATCCTTTCTATTGGTACAATTGAATCCGATCATCAAATAATAACTCTTGAAATCTCCATTATAATCAATAAACCCAAATCTCATAAATAATATAAACATAAAACCTTTCTTTGGAAAAACTGCATTAAAGAAAACCTTGAAAACTACAATAAACAAACAACCAAAAATCTTCAATATTTATCTTCAATATCTCTAGAATCTCTAATCAAAACCAACTTAATACTATATAGAATAAAATTCACAAAGCATTAATCAAAACCTCTACTAAACATATTCCTTTCAAAAAATCAAAACAATTAAAGAAATTCAAAACTCCCCATCACCAAAACATTCATCACTTTATTTCTGTTACAAAGAAATCCAATTTCTTAAAAATCATATGAACTCAATTAATTTTTATACATTACTCACCAACTACCAAACCAAATA